AACCGTGTTTCATTTCCACAGTATTAAGTTCCTTGTTACATCAATTTAGTCCGAGCCAAACAGGTGTATATGTGGAGTTAATATTCTATTAGTTTGACTTCGGAGTATTAACTCCACACATATCAAGATCATGTTGGTTTACTTTAGTATTATATCCACATTCATCATGTGTAGACGTGTTTTTGTAGTGTTGGTGATAACTGGTAAATTATTAGTTATTGAAAAAGTGACTGATGACATGTAAAGGCGACATTTCTGTTTAAAGAATAATAATTACATTTGTTTTTGTTTTTTCTATCCAGTTTATTAAAAATCANTAACTTCTGCCGCCGCGATCAATAACCGCCCGCCGTAGCCCAGGTGATGGGCCGGAGCGGCGCGGACGCCACCGCCGCCGCCGGCGGGGGGGCCGAGGCCCCCGGGTGCCCCCGCGCTACGCGCTTCTCGGTTTAGAACCGGGGATTTTCGAAAAAAGATCGTCGGGTGACGGGGAGCGGCGTCGTCGGTTCGCTCGGGAGATCCCGGCTTCCAGGAAAGCGAAATGTGCGGGGAGTATGAGAAAAAATACACTCGGAGAAGTTCTCGTTATTTTAAAGCAACGTCAACTCAATTTTTTATTAAAGTGTAAACTGCGCGTCGGTATCTGCACTGAAAAAAAAAGTACTTGGATCAAATGAACAGATAGTTTTAAATGGAATTATTTGCCGTAAATGTCATTTTATTCTATTCAAATGTACTTTCGTCAAACTACGTGAAATAGTTGCTGTAATCTATAATTTTTCTTAGAATTTATATTATTTCTAAATATATATAATTTAATTCAAATCTTATAGTTTTGAAATTTATTATCTCGGAATTGTATATTCAAAATTTAGTATTAATGTAGGAATTATTCAAGACAAATGTAGCATATTATAGTCAAACTTATGTTTTCTTGAAAGAAAATTGTAGCAGGTCACAGAATGGCCTAAGTGGGAAGTAGCACGATAGATGCAGCCACTTACGGTATGTGTATATACATCTCCTTGTGAGTAACGACAATAAATCAGCTGGGTCGATCTAAAGACATATTGATGAGGACCATCAATAAATCCCAAACTGACCTATGTCTAGTTGGTTAAACTTACAAACTATCCTAGCTGTTGTACTAAGTGTTTTATGAATTTGAAACTAAATATTTTTTATTACTGAGAAGTATTTATATTAGTGATGGGCATAATCGACCAATTTTGATAATCGAGTTATCGGTAATCGAGTACTTCTAATAATCGAGTGATCACTCGAGATACGAGATATTGGTCGTTTTCATCCCAGCGACGCACAAATATGTTTGTATTAGTCATATATTACTTATAAGCGTAGCTAAAAAAAAAAAAAAAGCTCACGCACTTCAAAACCTAACCACTTTTTCGTTTTATTCTAAAAAAAAGGTTACGCAATCAGTGACTATTTGCAGTATGCACTAACATTTTGGGGTGCAACCGTATGGTAATAATCACTCGAGTGGTGGGAGTAAACATCTCGAGATATCTCGAGTGATCTCAATAATCGAGTACCACTCGATTTTTCACTCGAAATCTCCCATCACTAATTTATATCCAAATACCTATATTCTTAAAATCATAGTAGAAAATATTTTCTTGCTTATATACAAACATGTGATACCTTAAAATCAAATGTTGTACATTAGAAATTTTTTTCTTGCTTGTACACTTATCCATAGGATAAATTTGGTAAAATTTTTTTTAAAGCTTGAAACTAAACACCTTTGCAATAAAAACTACAAAAATGCTTTGAATATTAAATAATAGTTCTGTTTGTTATTACCGATAGAAAAAGTTAAACTTCTAATAACAAAATCATAGTGTAATCATATATTCTTTTTAATATAGATTTAATACAGTTGAATTAATATAGTACAACAAGAGTATTGCTGTATTGATCTTCATTTAAAGTTATTTTTAGGATTCTCAGTCTTATCAGCAATCTTTTATTTATCTTTATTGATATCTTGTTAATTTTTAACTCCCTTCTCTTTATCCTTACGATATTGTGCATGTTTTTCTAATGTTAGTAATATACTATTTCCGATTTATTTTGAGCACTTACCCTACAATGAGAATTGAGTTGTTTAGATGGATAAAGGGCCTTCTAAGAATATAGAAATCCGTCCAAATAACCACTACAGGGTAAAAGAAAATATTCCTGTGACAAGATTGAGACATCCATATGAAGATATAGTGTATCAGACACTGGGGATAATTATTGTCCTGTAAGACGATTCAAATATCACCCATGTTTCCAATCCACACCAAAAAGTTGCTCGTAAAGCCGAAAAATAAAAGAAAAAAAAAGCTGAGCTTGTATGAACACAGCGAGCTTGTCGCTCAATCAAAGTGCTTTGAATCCGAAATTCACAAAAAACTGCAACCAAACACAACATCGATGCACAATGGACAATTCATAAAGAGAGTTTGGTGCTTGATAACTCCAAGGACCAGGGCAACGTTCCTGACCATTACAAAGTACAATTCTCCTCATTCGTCAAATTGTATGTATTCTACTGATGCATTTATCCAAACGACATCTTGTGTATCAATTACACCAAATACTTGACCTTTTGTATCCAATACAAAATTATTATAAATAGTTGCGAGATTAGGTTCAACCTTATTCCTGCGGCCGGTGCCAACTGTTCTGCAACCCAAAATTAAGTCAGTGAAAGGACACAAAAAAGTGTCTAGAACAAAACAAGAAATTAATGCTGAGACCAGTACAAAAAGGTTCGGTCGAAATCCTTAGTGAGAAGCACCATCAAAAGGATAACATAGAGGCAACCACAACAAAACCTGTCCTACTCTTTAAACATCAGGTTTCAAATTCCAAGCTTTTGGCGAAAAAGGAGAAATAAAGAGGAGGCGAGATACGACAATATAAGACATTTTTGAGTGTAGTTATTAGAATGCCCAGATGCTGTAAACCTCAATTCATTAGTCTAGACTGTAGACAATGCAACCGTTGGTGGGTAACACAAATTTTGTAGATTCTCTATCTATAGACAACCTAACTATCAATTTAGTCAAAAACATATATATTGCCACGATCTCTAAACAGACAGCCTGTGAGTCAGCCTCACTACAGTACCGTCGTATTACTAAGACCGGACATCTGACTGGATAGGAAGTTGAAAAGATATTATATGATGGCATTAGACTTTATTAATATTTGTTAAGACCGACATATGTAACTTGCTCGTGAAATTAGAGTTTCTTCCATGACAGTCATTTCCCAATGTCGGCCAGTTCAACACCTAACATCAGAAATGCGATGGTTCGTCCCAAAATGGTAAAGTCTGCAAAAAAATAAGGAAAGGGGAGGACAAGAAACTGGAGATGTAAGAGACAAAGAAGTTTATAAATTCAATTGCTTTCTAGGGAACCAAGAAATTCAAATGTGCTACCAAATTTTTTTGGTTCCAAAGACAAGGGGGCCCAGGAAAAAGTGTCTTAAGAGGGTTCCCTGCGAAAAAGCGTAGCACTATCAGATTCCACATGTCGTAAAACCAAATTTAGTGATTCTCGTACAACAGGGCTCTGAGATATAAAAAAGACTATTCTTAAGGGCGGATTTCAGGGGGTTGTAACTCCGAAAGAGGGGGGCCACTTGGCAAAAATAAAAATACAGGTCCCCTAAATTTGTCTTAAGAATCTATGACCAAATTTTGTTGCATTAATTTCGGCACCCTGTACAGGGATTCAGTCATAATATGACTCATTAATTTTAACCACGTATTCGGAAGGCCTAATAAAGACAGAAAATCGAAAAAAATTAGACCTTTTAAAAAATAAGCAAATTACTCTCGTTAATTAAGCACCCTACTTTGCACCACACATTTTCTGACTGGGAACGCGCCGGCGCACCACAGAGCGTTCGAACGTTGAAGCGAAACAGCTGATTTCCGCAGTCGTCTTGAATTTTGCAATTTGTTTCACAATCAAAGTGCAGAGGATCCCCGTTTTATTAACAAAGTGCTATGGACAGATGAGTGAGTGTTATTTTAGCCATACTGTCATTTTAAATAGATATCATACTACTTTTTGAAAAGCAATAAATCACACAACAAGATATACGTACTATAAACTGAATAATTAATTGAACACAATAGTAAAGACTCATATGCAATTATAAAACATAGTGAAAATCTTAACTATATTAAAAATACTAAATGACCTGACATTCGAAAACAATTATTATCTTTATACATTTGTTTTTATTAACAAATAAATAATAACCTACTCGTTAATAATTAAATTGTAAAAAAATATGTTATTCATTCATGTGTATATGTAAGAAGGACTGTTTTCTTTGTTCATTATTAAAAACGCAATAAAAGCTAGGTTAATGATCGAATGCAGTAGCACACTCTCGATAAACCTTTGTAGGTCAGCGGTCAGGAGCGGTTGGAAAAGGGGTTAAATAATGACTTGAAAATACTTTCTCTCAATCACCCTGTATACTTGCTAAGAGAATGACATTGTGTAAGCTGTTCCTGAAATTGTAGTTGCTTCTATAATTTGTTATTTCCCAAACCCTAACATACGTTTGATTAATTTTGTTTTTCTAACCTTCCTGATGGCTAAGAATAGATTCCTTATCTCTACTCTGTAGAAGTGAAAGGATGAAAATTGCCTTTAATTTTTTTAATTGCGGCTCTAAACTCCGTGTGTTTTTAATATAAATACAGGTAATTAGGTGGGGGATTTATGTAAGCCCGTTTTTTTTTTATGAAAATAACTATAATTTTCTATTTTAAAACGACCTTAAAGTCGTCGCGTGTTCCCTCGTAATTAGCTCCATTACGTTGGAAATAAATTAAGAACAATTTTGCACTTTAAATTATTCTCAATTCACCATAGGAACACATTTCAGCATTATTACGTGCCTTAATTAATGGGTAATTACGGAAATGAAAGACGTTCGCATTGATAAAACTTCTTTTTTATATTTTCATATTCTTTACAAGTTTTAAGTACATGATACTCAACATATGTTGCAGTTTCTACAATTTTAAGTACTTTAAGACGGTTTCCCCGCACCGATTAGGATCCTGGTGGTGAAAACCGCGCGTAATTACTTTTACAAATGTACAAGTAAAAAATGCATATCAATAAACAGATATACACACTCACATTTATTATTATATAAAATTGTAGATATGTTAAAATAATAAAAAAATATATACAGACATCACAGAAACACAAGTAATTCATAGTAGTTAAGTACTGCAAAGGAATAGGGGTATTTTAGCACATCTACATCCTGACTCGGAATAATAATACTTCAAACGTAATACCTAATTATGTACACAGGCAAATAAATATAAAATTTTGTATAACTCAAATAAATAACTCGTATATACACAATTGAAATTTTCTTCTACGAATATAACAACAGGACTTTTTACTCTTAACGTTGGCACTATAACAGGAAAGTTTGGCACGAAAATTGTTGGCACTGTTCAACGTCTCTGTCGGGGGGTGGATATTGCGAGCGCGCCGAACTTCATCACATTCGTCCGACTTTTGAATATTTGCACAGGAAACGTATTTACAGAGATCAGGTTTACGATTCACTTTCCACGTCGCTGACGCAGTCCTCCTCCATGTCCATGTCGATGTACTCGCCGTACTCGTCCGACGTCTCCTCCTTCCATTTGTTGACGTGGTGCGCGTTGGTCTGGGAGCTCGGCGAGTTGGACTTGTTGCTGGGGTTGCTGGTTTTCGCCTCCTCCTCCTGCTGCATGCGTTTGTGCTTCGTCCGCCTGTTTTGGAACCACACCTTCACCTGAAACAAAGAAAAGATCGTTAGTGTTAGCTCTTCGCGGAAGGGGGACGAATGCTGAGCCTTGGGGCACACCGAAAAGTATTTGTCTTTTTATTCAGTTATTTTAATTGCAAAATCGCACAGGAATGAACCCAGTTGCAGAATGAAAAAATATACAAATACTCTAAAGGTAACTAAGGACTATGACAACTACACAAGGTGTTCCAAAGCAACATGCACATATTTTAAATGGTTGTTGCAAAGGAAATTTTATTAGATAAACTTCATACAAATATGTGATTTTAAATGTACAGGGTGTTCAATGTTGAACTCTGAATATGGTGCCTACTTTTTAAATATTTTCGAAACTTATTGTGAGTTTATTATTGAAATTACATAAAAGTTTTTAATACAAAAGTTTTAGCTTTTTTATGAATTTTTATAATACAGTATTAGAAAAAGCTATTGAATAACGGAAATCGCTAAATTAACGAAAAAAATGGAACACCCTATATATTAGTGCATACTTAGCTTAAATTTTTCTGTTTTTAAAAATATATAATATGTTACTATTTGATTCAGGACTTTTCGACATATTTCAGTTTAAAACTATTGTTGAAAATACAGGAGGAAAATTTATGTCTGACGGATCGCAGTGGCTATGGACGAGGCACGCGGAACAAACAAATGACTTTGATAGAAGTCTATTTATCATCATTAATTTATTTCCTATAACAAACTATTTTATCAAAGAAATAATGTTTAGAATTTGTTTTATTTTCTGCGTGGCTATTTTTTCAAAATTTGATAACGAAATTTGAATGTTCAAAGCTTTTACACAAAAATGGATTTTAGTGTTATGACACCGAGATACATCGTTTTCTTTTTCCGCTTAAAATCGGTACATGTTATTAATAAAAATCGCCTTAGGCATCACATCTTAAAATATATACATACAATATTCTGTAAATATTTGAAATTTAAATTAAAGAAACAAAACCTATAGAAATACATAAAAACTACATTAAAATAAATACAGAGAAATGTTGCATATTCAAGACTGGAGTACAAATATTGAACACAATAATCTACGGATATTTATTTTTCGAAAATTTTTAGACTTAGCAAAACCTAAACTTGAATGAGCTGACTTAATAGCTTATCGTCAAATGTTACTCCAAGATACTTAACAACCTTAGGTCTACTGAAGTGCAATATTATTGAGCTTATAATCATATGATTTGTTAGAATAAGGCAGAACATCACATTTGTTAATATTTAGTGGTACTTTGTTAATTTTATTTAAATTATGCTGAAGTATCAATCCGTCTTTTGGCGAATTAGCTTCAATATAAATTGTTTGGTCGCATATAACAGGTATTTAACATTTAACTGTTTAATAATATCATTAATAAGGAGTACAATAGCTATGGGACCAAGTGTAGAGCCTTGAGGTACTCCTGATGTTTATACGAATTCGCTATATTTAAATTCTCGAAGTCGCATGTACAGTTGACAGTTTGAAAAGATTAGTGGATTTGGAAAACCATAGAAAGTTTTAATAATAGGACGTTATGAACTGAACACTTTTGAGAAGTCAGCAACCGATGATATGGCGATGATGTGGTTATGCAATACTCTTGAAATGCTTTATAAAAATTATTTAGGATTGCTGCCTTTTACAAAATCAGGGCAAAGCTATAGTTTTAGTGCAACAGTAGTGCTTTTTACTTTAAATGTTCTTAAAGAAGAAAGGAAAGATAGAAAGGCCGTTGTAAGATGATTGAAAAGCCATGCCGAAACGTGACGAAAATAAAAAGGATAAAATCACAGCCTGGCAACAAGAGCTATTTTAACCTTTTCCACCGCTAACAATGTACAAGATAATTGTCGGTTGTTGACAAAGCGTAATCGTATAATCAAATAATTAAAAGCGTGGTAAATTATCATTCACACTTCGCTATTAAAGGCCGACGGAAAAATGGTGTGATTTTCCAATATTAATTATATAATAGCCGCTCCATTCTAAAAAGTATCCTGTCGCGTACTCAACTTGGTATGCAGCAAGGTAATTACCCAGGTCATTCACAGTATGTATTAATAATAACGCTACAAATAATAATTACAATATCATTAATTTACATAAAGAACTGGTTGCCATATTTGTTCCATATTTCAATTGCTAATCCAGTCGTGGTTCGGAATATTAACACACATGGGCTGTTCCTAGGCATTGGATCATTTTATAAGGAGAAAGACGGATCTGATTTGAGGCATTGGTATTTGATGGAACAATATATCATCTGGGTTGCTCATTCCTTGAAAGGTGGGGGCCATTAAAGCAAGGATTACTTACACCATGTTGACAATTTTTTAAAATTAAGAAAGCGAAGAAATTTAATTTTCTTCCCAGAAATGGTGGGTTTTTCAGTAATATTAATTTGAAATACTTGATAAACTTATCAATTTTGACTTTTAAATGCCTTTTTATAATATTTCATGATAACTTTAATCATTTTATCTGAAATTGGAGAAAAAAGTGTAATTATAACATAAATTTAACATTGAATTTGAATAACTTTTGTACGAGTAGATTTATCAAAAAATGATAAGGGACACTTTTTGTAGAACGTTCAATTCCCTGCAAGAATACGTTTCGGTCATTTAAATCCGTCTATTGGTTTTTAAGATATAAAATTCTGAAGTTGAAAAATAATGTTTCCATGTTATTTAAATGGAAAATGACCTCTAAATATTAATATTAAGAGTTCCGATTTTTACAGACATCTCTTCTCGCCCCCTTGAATGTATTTCAGATGGGATTTTGAAAAAAAAAATAGTATTCCAAAAAGTAAGGACCAATTATTCTTTGGAACATTATGCCACACCAGACATTTACTTTTTTATATTAGATATCAATCGAAAATTGGGATTATTATTTTTAACCCAGTATCTACAATTTTGAGAGCAAACCACGCCATTAGTTGTGAATGTTGATTCGTCATTATATAAAATAAAGGGATGAAGGAATCTGTCTTCAATCAGTTTCTCGCCCATTGTTAAACAAAAATCCAAACAACGACCATCATCTCCATCAAGCAATTTATGAATAAACACTGATTTGAATGGATAGATTTTCTTGTACTTATACAAAAATTCTTTGAATATGAGATCTGCTAATATCTATATTTTCTGACCTTTTCCTGAGTAACATCTTTGGATTTTTTTATACAGAGTCCATAACTACAACAGTAGCAGTATCGTTATCATTGTATTCCTTTTTAATCATTGGAATATTCTTTTCATCATCATATAAAAGAGAATATTATAACTACATTTTTTCTACTCTCCTTTTTTTACAGTCACTGAACTCTCTCTCTCTCTCTCTCTCTTTAATAATGCATTATAACAGAAAAATCAATTTGTACGTTTTCTCGCGGCGACAATTTTTCTTGTAAATATTTTACGAACGTGAGAATAAGCAATACATGATACCATAACTCGTAAATTAGACATACTTAATGTTGTGAAAAATTTCCTCAGAGAGACTATAATTTTTGCAGTCATTTTTATTTCGTCACGCGAGGGAATTGTGCGTCACGATGCATTAGCAAATAAATAATACGACCCGTTTTACAATGGAAAAGGAAAACTGAAAGTAGTTTTCCATAAAAATGATTTTATGAGCTCTAAAATTTATATAAATTGTGTTAAAAAACTGTAAAAAGCAGATAGTACCTAGTTAAAAAAATGAAAAATTCATCTGGTTGTCATAAAAAGTTTTTTTTGTTTATAACACGAGTTTATCAAATCAATTCAAATTTGGTACCTTAATTTTTTTAGAGTAATATTTCTACGCCACTGAGATTTTTGCAAAAGGGGAAAAGCAGGGTAAGTAAAAAAAGTACTTATATCTCTTTTTGGTAAAACGCATCGCACATGTCAACATAAATTGTCTGTACATTAAAAAATTGTAATTTAATAGTGTTGAAAATTAAAAGAAAAGTACCTAAGGTTTAACACTTTTATTTCATGAAAAATTGTACTATTAAAGGAGTTCAAACTTTATTTTGTTTTCAAATTCCAGAATTTCGACGCCACTGAATATTTTTGAAATTTAATTTATTCATTCAATTTGCAATTCCGTCTCACAAAGGAACTGAGTATATAATTGCATTTTACTTAAAAATTACCCATTTTGAACCTATTATTTTTTTGTATTGATGAGATTAAATTTTCTAAAACACCCATTTCTACGCTACTGAATTTTCCGAGCTTTTGACTGTAGAAATTAATCACTTTTCCAGCAAAACATTCCTATAGTTTTTTGTGTGAAGCTGGTTTTATATTTGAAAAAGAATAATTTTGAAAATGAGGAGAATTTAGAATAAAAAGGAAATTATTTTTTTTCTCTTTAAAATATACCTAATTAGGAACAGAATTAATGCAATGGATTTTAGGGGCGTCTGGAGTTCTAACTGATCTCTAAGTATATCCCTTACTGATACATACAATTATATACAATCCCATATTTATTAATTTACATATTTACTTTACTGTAAATCTAATTCAGGTAAATAAAAGTAATCCTACAATCCTAACGATATTTATTGAGATAGAATTCCAAGAAGACCCCTGCGTCACTTTCATGGAATTAATCGCATTCGACACCCGAAAATATTGGCGGCGTGGCGTTCATCGTAGCAACTTGCAGTGCATACTGTATTTTGCAGTTACGAAGGCGTCTTTCTTGGTAAGTGTATCGTCCTGTGCATTTTCAGTGTAATTTCTTATAAAAATAAATCAATGGAGGTGAAAAATAAAAGAAAGGAATTTAATTCCCAGTCGAAGAGTATCACGTTTAACGTATATAACTGTTTTAAGACAATTATATATATATTTTAATATTCTGAAAATAACTCGGAAAATTTCAAGGCACGCCCCTTCTGCGGTAAATTGTTACAGTAGTTCCGACAACAGAACTTTATTGGCTTATTATTTTCTTGGAATCCTAACAGGAC